CTTTCTTATCTCCACTCAATCACACTAAGGTATCAAGCTTGTAAAGCTTGAGACTTTTGATGGTGTCTGCCGGAGGAAGAGTAGAGCTCATCAATGGATGAGTCAATACAGTCAATAATGTGTTTTGGGGTTGCAGGCTGAGAATTGCACTTAGTACATAGGGACTTATTATTTGATATTGGCAGCTAACCTACTGATGGCTTTTACCACCTGGGGACAACCTTCATGGTAGGATTCAGCTTTCTGTCTCCAGGGGTTTATAAAGTTAATAAGGATTGACTAGTACATAATGTGTGGTGAGAGTTGCTGTTACTGAGAAATGTCACTTATCTTGTGAATAGGTATCAAAGGGAACAAAGAACAAGAGTGAAAACATAGTACAAATGTGATATTGTACTGGGATAAGGTGCATAAATTAAGAAAAAGGCATCTCCTTATTGTGCAACTGAAAGTTGCTGATGGCTTGCGCCATCTATCGGAATAAATATCAACTATTCTCGTTGATTTCTAATTATTCCAGAATTGGCCAAATACCCATTCTTGATTAATCAAGAAAAGCTAACCACGGACGCATTTCGGGCTGTTGGCCCTCATCAGCATGGTGCAAGCTGTACCTCAAGAATGGGTATTTGGCCAATTCTGGAATAATTAGAAATCAACGAGAATAGTTGATATTTATTCCGATAGATGGCGCAAGCCATCAGCAACTTTCAGTTGCACGATAAGGAGATGCCTTTTTCTTAATAGAGCAGAGTGTTGGTGACACAAATTGAACAGCTGACCATCCAACTGGCATCATCTATTGGTGTAAATATCAATGTGGTTTACCATTGTTCGATTTGGTTTCACATATTAATGTATAGCAATAACGCGCCATCTATATAATACAAATGAAGAACAAAAGGCGAATGTTTCTTTTCACAAATAAATCAAACTTCTACTGCCCTTACTGCGATGAAAAATATATTGGGAGGGCTTGTCTCATCAGAGGTTAGCCTTCCCAGCAGTTTCGCCAATTTAATCTACCAGACCACTTCTTTAGAGCTCTAATACTGTTTTGGATCATTCTGCTTTTATATGTAACACTGAAGGGTTGAATCTTAGAAATGTTTTTTAAGCAAACTTTGGACATAAGCTTTTAGGACAGTAGAATTACATTTAAATATTTGCATCGAGCAATGCTCTTTCGCAAACAATAAGGACAAGGCCAGTTAAAAACATAAGGTAACAAGATCAAATCCAAATGAATAAATAGTGTGGGACGTTTTAGGTAACAGCTTGTTACTGAAATGTTATAAACTATTTATTTATTTGGATTTGGTCTTAATATCTTGTGTTTCTAATCTATAAACCAAATTGTACCTTATCATAAGTGAAGAAAGGTCAACTCTCTTGTCAAAACAGATGCTAGAATGAAGTGTCATCTATTCATCATCTTTACAAACTACTTGTCAATGTTTATGACAAATTCAGAGAGAGAGTAGACTTCCTGGTAAAATTTCCATTTATATATATCTGCCATAGTATTGGTGTCACCACTTTTGCCAGCTAAACACTACTTTGGCAAATTCTGAAGACATCCCATGACACCAATGAGGGCTATTATCCTGAAATCATAGTCTCCAGATTGGAAAAACAAGGTAATAAGACCAAATCCAAATAAATAAATAGTGTGTGACGTTTCGGTAACAACGCTGTTACCGAAACGTCACACACTATTTATTTATTTGGATTTGGTCTTATTACCTTGTTTTATAATCTATAATCCAAATTGTGCCTTATCTCCAGATTGGCTTACTGAGTTTACCAAAGCTGGTGTTGTGAATTTGTCACCGACCCAAGTCTACTAATTTACAGAACTAGTCAATAAATGACGCTTAGTTTTAGAGTATGGAAAGGTGACCTTTCTTTTTATGGCACAAATTATCTTCCCGTCAAAACTTCTGTTTTTGGTGTGTTCTCACCCCCAAACTTGCTAGGTTCATAAAGAAACCTCTATGGTCATGTTTATTGAAGTACAGCCTGCCAATGAGAATCCACAACCCTACAAATGATTAGTTTTTGTGATTAAAAAAATATATTTTTGGGCCAATAAATTCAGAAATAGGCATATTAGATCAATTTATTAAAACCAATAAAGCACCTAGGCCCAAGTTTCATACAAGATACTTTGCCTTGATTGATTTTACTAAATTATAAGTCAGAGGGGAAGAGCATTTATATATATCAATTGATATTTATTTTAATAGAAGGGGGTACAAACCATAAAATATATTTCTTTCACAATTAGAAGAGAGGCTTTTGTTCTGGGAGATACCTGTTTTTCATGCCATGAGTATCCATGATGTCAAGAGTTTCCAAATGTCATCTGCCACATTTTGATAGTCAATGTCCCTGATATTTCATTCTAGTCTCAACACAGAAAATTTGGTAAAGATGAGGGAGGTTGAAATTTTAGTCACCATCTTCAAATCCTATTAAAAGTGTTAATACTTTTTAATATCATCTCAGCACTAATTATATATTATTTAAAAAACACAAGGTAATAAGACTAAATCCAAATAAATAAATATTGTGTGATGTTTCAGTAACAACACTGTTACTGAAACATCACACAATATTTATTTATTTGGATTTGGTCTTATTACCATGTGTTTATAATCTATAATCTAAATTGTGCCCCTTATCATTATTTAAAAAAAATCAATTTACATTTTTCATAGATAGATGACGCTGATTGTCATTTTCAAAGAATGTCATATTGTCCCTCTCCAGTAATTGGTGGTGTGTCACAGGGAAGGAACTACGGCCCCAACAGTTTGGAGGTCTATGCCGACAACATTATCAGAGTGGTGAGTTTCCTTCCTGCCATATCTGTCCCTTGTTGTTGGTAGCCATAGAGGTAGTTGACCTTGTGAATACACACTTTATGCTAGCGCATGCTAGCGCTTTACACTTGAGTTTACTCAAGACTCAAGGTAATAAGACCAAATCCAAATAAATAGTGTGTGACGTTTCAGTAACAGAGTTATTACCATCTTCAGACAAAAGTACTAAAAGTTATTTGGATTTGGCCTTATTACCTTGTGTTTATAATCTACTAGAAGAATGACCCGGCTTCGCCCGAGAAATTCCCCGAGTGAAGTATCCTTCATACTGAAAGTACATCAATAATAAATAGTAGAAGTGCCATAGAATAGCAATACAGAAGAAACACATAAACTACAGGAAAAAAAAGTGTGTAATGGCAAAAATTGTATTTATTTATTTATGCTTATGAGGTGATACAGCAACGTCTTTACAATAAGAGAGGAGACAAAATGAATCAAATCTAGAAAAAAGAAGTGAGGACTTCTCGGTCATTAAAGTCTGAGAGGCAAGGCCTTCAGCCAGTTCAGGGCTTCCGGGGTGACAGAGTGGAGATTGGAGATTCCTCCATTGAATTTGTACAGCGGGCAGTCATCTAGTATATGGGACATTGATTGTGGGACGTTGCAGGCACAATTTGGATCTTTGGTGTAGCCCCATAACTTCATCAGCTCTGCACACCTTCCCTGTCATGTCCTAAAGCGGTTTAGAAGCACCCATTCTCGTCGAGGGAGGGAAAAACCTGGGATCTTGACACTTGGGCTTGTGATGAGGTTCTTGTTTGGGATATCGGAGCTGATCCAGGAATTTGTCCATGCTTCTGAGATATTAAAATTTTGGGAGAGAAGTTGGTTTCCTCTGGACCATATCGGATTCCTTGATTTTAGTCTATGTTTTGGGGGAGACTGTAGGATTGGGTTAATTTCGAGGTCGGGTGAATCCAAGAGTTTTTGGTACATTTTCTTGGTGGCTTCCTTTCTGCGTAGCTCAGGCGGAGAGATGTGAGCAAGAACTGGAAGCCAGTCGATTCTTGTAGGTTGGCAAACCCCTGTTATAATTCGTAAGGTAGAATTTAGTTGTGTCTATTAGCTTCGTGTGGCAGCTCCCCTCCCAGACTGGAGCACAATACTCAGCCGTGGAGAAGATCAATGCCAAGGCAGAAGTACGCAGGGTGTTGGCATCACTGCCCCAGGAAGAGCCGGCCAGCTTATGGAGGATATTGTTACGTGATGATAGTTTCCCCTTTAACTTGGTGAGATGAGTTTTGAAGGTGAGAGTGCGGTCAAGATGAATGCCTAGGTATTTGGGATGTTCGCTATGAGTTATCTGAGAGTTATTGATAAATAGTTTGAGTTTTCTTTCAGCTCTGTGATTGTTAAGATGGAAACAGCAATGTACAGATTTTGCAGGATTAAGCCTCAGAGACCAGTTTTCAAAGTAATTATGTAGAGTTTCAAGATCTTTATTCAGTTGAATTTCCAGTTCCTCGAAAGTCTTTGCTTGGGCTAGAATGGCTGTATCATCTGCGTAAATAAATTTCTTTGAAGTTGTTTGGGGAATATCATGGAATAGCAATACAGAAGAAACACATAAACTACAGGAAAAAAAAGTGTGTAATGGCAAAAATTGTATTATATTAGTGTTTAGGTATTTGATTTAATTATTTTTTTGCAATCCATTTAGTTGTTTCAAAATTAATATAGTTTAAATAGACGACAGCTTTTCCACCAAACCCTCATTAACCTTTGAAATTGCCTGAGTTGAGTGACTGATGTAAAGAATCCTGACTGCGATGCCCATCTTCTCAGTAAGAATAAAAAAAAAAGGTTTATAAAAAAAATTAATCCAAAATACTGGCATGTAAATATTTTTCTGTAAAAAAATATAAGAGCATATGGAAATATTAGGCAAACATATGTGTTCGCTAATGATTGCAACTGCATTTTAAACGATTTTTAAAAAGATATTTAAACAAATAAAGGCCAGAACAAAAATTAATAAAAAATATGAAATCCATTATTTACATACATTCACAAAAGCAAACGATGACAGAATTGATGGCTCTGATACTTGTATATTTTAATAATAATAATATTAATATAAATGAGTTTTAAAAATTGTAAAAAAAAAAATGCATCAGCCGGGAATCGAACTCGGGCTGCCAGCGTGGCAGGTGAGCATTCTACCACTGAACCACCGATGCTTATAAGAAATGGCAATATTTGGGTATTTATTCCATTTCACAAAAGCAAACGATGACAGAATTGATTGTTGATGACTCTGATACTTGTATATTTTAATAATTCAAATTGTGCCTTATCATTTACTCAAGACTCTATATCTTATTCTTTTTTTCTCAAAATTTTAAGTATTTTTCCAAATAACAAGGCAAAAGGATTTTTATTGCATCTACTTTATTTTTAAAAAGTTAAAGAAATTTTAAGAAGTACTGTTGATTTTTGAATTTTGTTGGCAATATTGAATATTGTCATTTACAATTAGGTATTGACATTGCCTTATTCCATCAAATACAGTCAATATCAATTGAGCCAGGAGAATAAAGGTTAGATCACACTTGAGCAGGCAATAGGAACCTGAGTAAAGCCTCAAAATCAGGGTTCAAGTAGCCTGAGGAAGGCTCACTGGCACACAAACATGTGATTGTCTTGGAAGGGTTAAGAATAAAACATTTTATTGTGTGACTGCAAGTTACTGATGACTTGTTCCATCAAATACAGTCAATATCAATTGAGCCCCAGGACAATAAAGGTTAGATCACACTTGAGCATGCAATAGGAACCTGAGTAAGGGCCCAAAATCAGGATGCAAGTAGGCTGAGAAAGGCTCACATGTGATTGGCTTGGAAGGGTTAATAATACAACATTTGATTGTATGACTGCAAGTTACTGATGACTTGTTCCATTTATATAAATGCCACCAAACGGGGCTCTGGCACATTTGTAAGTGCAAAGTCGAACTGCTTTCCACATGTGTAGACATGTGGTGCACTTACAGTAAAAGCAGTCGCCTACTTCTACCCACCATGGTTAATCATGGCCTGTACCACCTGGCACACAGTACAAGTGTACTAGGGATAAGCAACAATATATATAAATGCCAACTACAGGTCTAATTATTTTATTCTAGATTACAAGCCAAAAGTTTAAACACATTCCCACTTTTGGCCTAAACAACTTTTTTTTCTTTGATTTATCAGGAAGCTTCCATCTTGTTTGGTCATTTAGGTACAGCCTGCATCATGTTGTCGAGGGCCAAGAGCCCAAAAAGTGTACATGGTTGACTTTTAAACTATTTTTGACTCATGTGATTCTTTTCAAAATAAAATAATGTTCTACTGCCCTTACTGCAATGATAAATAATTGAGAAGACCTGGCTCATTAGTGTTGAACCCTCTCAGAGGCTTCACCAGTTTAAATGGTAAACTGCCAACACTGCTGGGAGGTTTTACCACTGATGTGAGAACAAATTTCTGGTTTTGATTGTTAGAGGATATGGTTAGGTGAAGGGGGTAAATCACCTTATCTGCATATAGCTTCGTATATCCAAACTTGCATAATGCTGGCTATAGAATTACACTATATATAACGTAACTATTATAACTATCACAAACTATAACCAAGTAACTAGCGTGAGATCTCGACTTTATAGAAATCTGGTTCCACCACCATACTTACATATCTCCAGTGATATATATATGCAATTAAGTCACACACCACACATGAGAGAGATTAGCTCAAATGTGTAGATTCCATCTTTCCTACACATATGTTGTATATATATATACTTGTTTCGTAGTACAAGCTAGCCTGGGTCAGTTCTGTTGGATGCTAGAGGGCACCACTTGTATGTTGGTAGATGGGAAAAAACATAATAAAATTATATTTTATATCCAATCGTGTTGTCTCCTTCATTTACCACTGATGAGTCAGGCCCTCCCATTAATTTACATTGCAGTAAGGGCAGTAGAAAATTATTTTATTTTGTAAAGAAACATATGAGTCTATAATAGTTTAAATTTCTTATAACAGATATGGTACATTTATACATCATGAGTGACTTGATTTATCAAGAAACTGATATTTTGTTAAATATTCTGGAATAAAACAAATCAGTGTTTATGATAAAGCACAATTTGGATTTTATAGATTATAATAAAATAATATAAGACCTAATCCATATATAATTTATTAGTGTGCGACATTTCGGCAACAACATTGTCACCATCACCAGTTTTTTTTATTCTTTTGTTTGATGATGGTGACAATGTTGTTGCCGAAACATCACACACTAATAAATTATTTGGATTAGGTCTTATTTTCTTTTTATTAAAATCAGTCTTTAGTTGATAGTTACTATAGTAGATATAAAAGACATCAGTAATGTTCAGTTACATGCTATAGAGATGCTTCTTATACCCCAAATTCATTGCTCTGATCCAGAACATTTTTCATCTATTGTGGCCAAAATATGTTTTCACAAAAAATGGAGGAGGGCTAGCAAGGAAACCTCTATATTTTCTTTTATTATAATCTATAATCCACATTGTGCTTTATCATTTGTTTTCTATTGTGATTAAGTTTTCTCTTTATTCCAACAATTAGTTATTCAAGAAGGTAATGGTGTTGACTATGTAAATTACTATAGTTAAAGAGTGAATCTCTCCAATTTTAACAAGATCTATGGTATTAAATCTCCTCTATCTTAAAACACAGTATTAAGAAAATTACCTTTGCCCACACATGGAAAAAGACCACCTGGGTAAATGAATTTCAACTCGGCAACCTTATCACAATCTGATAAACTCCAAAAAGTTAAAATACAAAATTAGAGTAAATAATTATTGACTTTACATACAGCCAAACCTCTATAGTGAACCCCAATGAGACTGAACTTTTGGATCGCTATAGACACAGTTAACTATAGCAACATAACCACGGATTGGATATTTCAAAGGGTAAAATTAAAGGACAGTCGGACACCGTGAAAAAATGTCACCTCTTAGTAATGTGGTTGCCTTTTTTTTGGTTATTCCCTAAATTGACCTTCATTAAAGCTGTATATAAAGATGGACAAAAAAAAAAATCTTGTAAAAAGAAGTCCTTTGATGATAGTTTAATTAATTAGCCTATATGCAACTTTGTGTCTAACTTAAAAATAAAGACAAGTCCTAGGCAAAGTTTTATATATTGTTTATTAAAATATATAATAATTGTATCATATTAAACTCAATAATACAAAGTTTACTTGAAATAAGTGTAATACTTTGTAGCTTGAATGCACTTTCAAGCATTGCCTTTAAATGAAGTTAATAAATACAGTAGAACCTTCCTGTAAAGGACACCTAATTGCAGAGCCAAAGTGTCCTTTTTAGGGAGAGGTATCCTCTTACAGGAGAGTTGCTAAATTTGCAAATGAAACTGTTCTTTGTGGAGATGTGTCTGCTAAAGGGAGGTTCTACTGTATTTTTTCTTCCATTTCCAGTTTCCACATATTCTTCTGAAGACTAAATTTCATTCTTGTACAGTAGAACCTCCTTGTAAATCCCCTCACAGACAAATACAGCATAGCAAATCATTTTGCCCACCATTACAGCTCCACCGCAAAACTTAATTTTAATTTACAGGATAAAATAATAGGTAGAAAATCTAGGCTCACCAGAAACCTTGCAAAATCCAAACCCAGCCACAACATTTTCAGTAAACCTTTTCAAGAGCATGAACTGGACGAAGCTTTAAGTCATCTTGACCCTACAAAAGCTCCTGGTCCAGACAACATCACTGGACCCATGTTGAAAAACCTCAGTTCCCATGCCAAACTAGAACTCTTAAGCATTTTCAATTACAGTTGGAGCTCGTCTACCCTCCCTAAAGAGTGGAAACATGCCACAATTATCCCCATCCACAAACCAGGCAAGCTTGAGAACCACCCAACCAACTACAGACCTATCTCTCTGACCTCTATTCCCTGCAAAATCATGGAACACATGATTCTCAATAGGTTAACTTTTTATCTTAACCTCAACAACCTACTAAACCCTCATCAAATAGCTTTTAAAAAATATCAAAGCACAGAAGATTCAATCTTTTACTTCGTTCAACAAACCCAGGACAGCTTCCATCATAAACCTACAGAATCCACTATAGCAGCTTTCATCGATCTTTCCCAAGCCTTCGACAGAGTCTGGAAGGAAAAGCTAATTTTCAAACTCGACGAACTTGGAATAGAGGGAAGTATGCTGAGTTGGATCAGCAATTTTCTATCCAAACGTACCATACAGGTTAACTTCAACAACATCAAATCAAAAACCACTCGTATTTACCAAGGTCTACCCCAAGGATCAATCCTAAGCCCTATTCTCTTCAATATTTACCTAAATGATGTACACACTTCTATCAAACCGCCAGCTAAAATTGCCCTTTACGCAGATGACATAATCATCTGGGTCTCCAAAAACAACTTCTCCGATGCAGAACAATCTCTGAATAAAGCCATGAAAAATTTTCAAAAGGTAACTAAGAAACTGAAATTATCCATTAACATCAGCAAATCTGAAATCGGCCTCTTCACCATCAACAACCACCTTCGCCACTGGACCCCAAATATTTTCTTAAATAATTCAAAACTTCAATATTCAGATTCCCCAAGATATCTTGGTGTCACACTCGACCCTGCGCTCACTTTTAAAAAACATATTGACACCATGATAAGCAAAGCCAAAAATAGGCTCAAAATCCTGAAAAAAATATCAGGCTTAAACTGGGGTGCAAATGCCAATATCTTACGCACAACGTACCTTGCACTCGTAAGACCTATTTTGGAATATGCTACACCAGCCTGGATCAATGCAAGTAAAACTAACCTATCCAAAATAGACAGAATCCAAGCAAGCGCAGCTAAAATCATCAGCGGACTTCGAGGATCCTGCCCAAATCGCATTGCTGAACTCGAATCCAACCTTCTTCCCCTGCACCTAAGGAGAAAAATCTGCTTTTCAAAATTTATAACAAAAAATATTAACTCTCCAAAAGAACATCTTACAGGAAAATTTATTAGAAATTGGGTCCCAAACCAAAGATTAAAACGCCCCACTCCTCTCAACATGTCTCACAACTCTAATCTTTTAGACATCCCAATTAATCCCAAACACAGAACTTCCTATCCCCCACACAAAACTCGCAACAA